GACCAGTCAGCCTAACTTCAGTACCTGGAAAAATACTGGAACAAATTATTAAACAATCAGTTTGTAAGCACCTAGAAAATAATAGGGTTATAAGTAATAGTCAACATGGATTTTGTCAAGAATAAATCATGCCAAACCAACCTTATTCCTTTCTTGATAGGGCTGGGGATGGAGCTGGGCTGGGAGCCAGGGCCGGGAGCCAGGGCCACAGTTTGGGGCAGGACTGGGAGCAGGGATGGGGCCGCAGCTGGGCTGTGGTTGGGGCCCAGGCTGGAGCTGTAGCCAGGGCCAGGAGCGAAGGCGCAGCCAGGGCCGTGGCCAGGTGTGGAGCCGGGAGCCAGGGGATGAGGGCAGGGATGCAGCTTGGGGTGGAGCCAGAGCAGAGCTAGGGGACAGAGCAGGACTGGATGACATTCTCTTTTCCCATGGGGGCTGACCTGGGCCTCGTCACATGCTCCCGAATGCTCCTCCAGGCCCCACTAATGGGGGCGTGAACCACAGTTTGGGAACCACTGGTCTAGATAAAACTACCATAATGTGAGTTGAAAGGCTGTATTAAATGGTTTTCTTTCAAACTGGGAGAACATATCTAGTGGGTCTCCCAGGGGATCTGTCCTGGGTCCAGTACTATTCAACATTTTCATTAATGATTTTTATAATGGAGTAGAAGTATGCTTATAAAATTTATGGAGGATGCCAATTTGTGGGTTACAAGCACTTTGGAGGACAGGATTCAAAATAACCTTGACAAATTGGAGAACTGGTCTGAAACTAACTAGATGAAATTCAAGACAAGTGCAAAGTATTACACTTAGGAAGGAAAAATCAAATGCACAAATATAACATGAGGAATAGCTGGTTAGGCAGTTGTACTGTGTCACAGGGTGCACGGCCGGCCCCTCTTCTTCTGGGCCCGGTTGCCCTCCCAAATAAGTCCAGGGACACTTCAGCTTGTGCAACACCCATGTCCTTTATTCTTTAAGCGTTTTCCCACTACCGGTGTCCAACTATATACAATCCTTATATATTTCTTGCCTACCACAGGCTGGTACCACCCTGCCACATACTGCTGAAGAGAATCTGGGGGTTATAGTAGATCAAAATTGAATATGAGCAGTGTGCAAGTAGAAATCGTTTCTTGCCGGTACTGCACTCATGGGAGGGACACAAGGGGAGGTATGTGACCTTGCCACGTGACCCTCCATGTGACCCCTCCCCGCCCCCAGCCCGGGGCCCCCATGCTCTCCCCATCCCCTCCGACACCCCCCTTTGTATATACAAACATCAACATGCTTAACTACTCACTTTTCCTCCACATATGTAGTATTCAGTCTGTTTATATGGAATATGGGAATTGGGTGAGGAGCCATTTCAGCATATGTATGACTTATTAAAAGACAAATTTTAAGTAGAACTGTATCCTAAACTGCTTTATGGTATTGTACCCAAGCATTGCATTTGAATGGGGGATTCAACTTCCTTTATAGGAACAGACTCCTGAAACTCTTACCAGCCCACAAAAGTGGTCCATAGTCATGCAAATAGTCCCATTGTCTTCAATAGGGTTGATCAAATGATTAAAGGTTTACGGGATTAGGTTCCAAGTTTGTAAATTGTTCCGGATGAAACTGACAATGCCTGAACTGTCAGATCAGAAGGAGCTTCATTTGAATAAAGGTGGGCAGATGTGTGATAAGTCTTAGCTCCGTTGCTAAGATGAGGAACATATTCTCAGCAAAGTTCTTGGCAGATTCCTGAGGCAGCTGGTTTAAGGCTGTCAGTGTCCAGCATTATAATCTTCACTTATAGTTTTCTCACCCACAAAGCTGGAAAATTAGGCATTTGTTTTGCTGCTCCAGTTCCAGTTAACAAAATGCATGTTAGACTAGTTTGGCTGCAAAGAAGAATTCTGTGTACACTGGGGACAACACCTGATTCCTGTCAGGCTGCAGAACTGGGTTGACATCAGAATCCAAACATCCTCTGGTCAGTGCAAGCAGAGGAATTCCTCTAACAATATTGACTGTGATGCAGTATGGATGTCATGGATAATTCAGATCAATGGGGAGAAACAGAATCAAAAACACTGTTTAAATTCCTTCCGTCCCCACCACCTCTCCCCTCCCCTCTTGAGGACTCCTGACCAACTTAACAGCACAATACATATGCTAACAAAGCCTTTGTTTAAGTTTGTTAGCATAGGTATTGTGCTGTTAAAACCATTTAAAGAATTAATGCCCTCCTAGCTTTTAAGGAGCAGAGCACAGCACTCCCCCCCCCCTCAGACTGGGGGGGCTAGCCCCAAGTCTTTCTGGTACCCTGTACCTGCTAAAAATCTCTTGCTGGTACTGAGTACTGGTGGGTACCCCCCTACTTGCACTCCTGAATATGAGCCACCATGTGATGCATTGTGAAAAAGGCTAATATCATTCTGGGGTGTATTAATGCACTGTCATACATAAAACACAGGAGTTAATTGTCCTGATCTACTTGGAACTGGTGAGGCCTCAGCTAGAATACTATGAGAAAAAAAAGTTAAAAAGCTGGGTATGTTTAGTCTTGAGAAAGGAGACAGAGGGTGGGACCTGATAAGTCTTCAAATATATTAAGGGCTGTTATAAAACAGATGGTGATCAATTTTTCCCTATGTTCACTGAAGATAGGACAATGATGTATTTCTAAATTCATTGTGACTAATGTGACAAAGCTTTCACTTTTTTTTTATTTTTTTTATTTTTTATAACCATGCTCCACCTTGTAGTTTTCATTATTTGTTTAGTATGCCTGTGGCCTTTGGGTGGGGAATTCTCCAATGTGACATAATGTCACCTATTACTATCATCCTATTTTGTGGTTTGCCTACAAATTGCTTGCAGCTTAGAAAAAACTTTTGTTTTCAATTAGCACATATGTAAAATAAATTACACCAGATAATTGTGTTGTCAAATATTTATTTAGTATCTTAGTACTTGAGTTCACTTACCAATCAGATAAAATTCATTTGAATTCTTTTATACTGACATCATATTCCTAATTTGCAAATTCATTTCTAGACACAGAAGTAACAAAAGTTTGCATTGGCTTGTTGTGAGTAGGTGTGATGTTTAGGAATTTTAATGTGCAGTTTAGTGTTTTCATAATGTCATTGTGAATCAGTGCTTAATTTTAGCAAGAGACATCTTTATCCCTAAGCTACTTGCTCAGTGCAAAGTATTTTCCTATTTTCTAATTCAGACAGAATGACCGGACTGGAATCCTCAGGGAATTTAATTAATGGCACTCTAATCTACAAACTGTTAGATCTCATTTTATTAATGCTGCTGTCTCATACTAAAGTTCACACCATGGGCATCATTCAGCATTGATGGAAACAGGTACAAGCCCCATTATCTTCACCTATATAGTCCAGGGCTTAAATTGGGCCAATTAATTTAACTGTTTATGTTTGCATGACATGTACACCAGTATATCACAATCAGGTATTTAGTAGTGTTAGACCATGAAAAACAACATATTTCACAGAGATATATAAGCACACAGGTAAATACACAGATAGATCTTTGGTATCCGAGTGTTATACAGAACATTACACTAATCTGTATAAGCATGTAGGTAAATACAAGTATATATGTACTAAATAGGTGTACTACTATTGAAAATTACTAAATGTATATAATATAGTACACTGCAAGGATATAGGTGGGTTACGATACATAGGAGATACACCAAGCCTTCTCCATGTTTAATCATTGCTATATTGTGTTGGATATTTTTGTTTTTGTCATAGTGAAACAAATTCTGCTCTCAGGTATTCCCATGCAAGCTCACTGAATTCAGTGGAGCTGTACTAGCTGAACTGAGAGCAAAATATGGTAGAATGTTGTTGCTCCTTTTCAATTATAGTCAAAGTTTGGGCCCTGGTTCTGTGTTTTTTATAGATACAGACACACCCCGCCAACCAAAACCCCCTCCACCCACACAGTCCAAAACTCCTGTTAGGTGAGGGCTTGAGATTAATTTATCCTTACAGTTATGTTAACTGAAGAGTGTCTTTTCACTCATCAATCTCAACAAGGTTTTAATTCAACCCATAACAAAGTTTCACCCAGTTCATAACAATATGTATATTTCTGAATGTTTTACTCTTTTGTACTACATCTCCTTGGTCAATCATTGTTCCTCCAAAAAATTGCTGAGCTGGTAACCATCTATGGATGAACCTGTTGTGTTTGATGTTGACAAAGACAGATTCTCTCTCTTAAATCTGCTTCAATTGTTTTCAGAGTTGAATATTCAAATGTTCTGGTTTGAGCCAGTTTAGGTTTATGTATTTTTGTGCTGTTGTCATGACTATTAAGAAGAGTTGTTTCATGAACACTAAACAAGGATTTAATATTGGGGCCAGGTCTACACTTAAAACTTTTGCCAGTATAGTAATGCCAGCTAGGGATGTGGGTTTAATTACGACATTTTACATGAACAAAAGGCCTAGTGTAGACAGTTATCCTGGCAAAGAGTGCTTATTTAGTTTGGGGAACAGGTATAAGCTACATTGGCAAAAGCAATCTTTTGCCTGTATAAGCTACATCTACATTAGGAGGGTTTGCCAGTATGCTGGAAGACCTTTTCTAGTGGCATCTGGTTTGATTGATGACTGGGTGTCAAGTGCCTTATACTGTACTTCCTCTCTACCAGAGATGGAAAACCCAAATCAGAAAAGGCACCTCAAAAGTATGACCAACCCAAGTACAAAAATGGCAAAACAAGAGATTTCAAATTCTGATGCATTGTTAGAACTAGTGACAGGGGAAGCCTGAAAACTTTCAAAGGTTTAGTCTTGGAGAAACATTACAAAATGTGAATGTTTCTCCATATCATATCTGAACACGGTGACTCCCTAAAGTCTGCAAAATTAGGCTGATAACTGCACAAGAGCAGAGCGTCTCATGATATTTCCAGTATTAATTGTTTAAGATAACCAGAAATAGGATGGTACTTACTTTGGTGATGGGCTTCTTAGCCTGCCAGCCAAACACTGGAATACATCAGACAAAGCTGGGAATTGCAAGGTTTGGGTTCTATTTTGGCACTTCTACTTCCACTCCTAACAAAACAAAAAATTGGAAATACATCTTTTAGAACTATGTCTTTATTTAGGAAGTTTTACAAATTCTAGTCGTGTAAATATCAGAGAATACAATAATCATTACAACAATGAGCTTTTGTTTAACGAAACATTATACAGTAATATAATCACTGAATCTCTCCATTTAACCAGGTGTTACCATGTTACAAAGTGAGTATTTTCATACTATTTATGACAGAGAAATACATTTTTAACAAGAGAATTAAACTTTTTCAAACTGCCAAGAGATTTGGCTTGGGTGAAGATTCAAGTCATTTCCTATTTTATCTAAGCTATAACCCACTTACAGTTAAAATAGCTACTCTAACCATAAAAAAAATAGGTAGGTGCAGTGGGTTAATATGCTACCTTTTCACTTCTGAAGACTGCAGTTCAAATTATGTTCACCATAGAATATCAGGGTTGGAAGGCACCTCAGCAGGTAACCTAGCCCAACCCCCTGCTCAAAGCAGGGCCAATCTTCAGACAGATTTTTGCCCCAGATCCCTAAGTGGCCCCCTCAAGGATTGACCTCACAACCCTGGGTTTAGCAGGCCAATGCTCAAACCACTGAGCTATCCCTACCCACCTGTTAGCCACATCACCATTTGTCCACATCACCAAACCACCAGCCAATTAGGTATTTTTTTGGAAGCCTGTGCTCAAGAGAGGCCCGTACTTGGAACAGCAGAAATGTTGCTGGGTCTAACATACACATTCTCGTGGTTGGGCAGGATGTAAAGGGTTAGCTGGTCCAGGTTCAAAATCATCCTCATTCAGGAAGCAAGGAGAGAGGAGATTATGACCCTTCTTCAAATACTACCTGTTACCTCTTTTAGTTAGTGGTTCTGCCCTCACCAGTTGAGAATCTAACACTCCCTGTGTATTGGTCTTTGTAGTTTTCTTGGCCCTGCTTGCTTTAACAGAGACCTTGGTCTCCCAGCTGTCAGGGATCAGGGCCTCGTTGTGCTAGATACTGTACAAACATAGTATAAAACACTCTCTGTTCCAAATAGCCTACAGTATAAACCGATAAGTTAGAGAAAGGATGGGAAGAAAGGAAGCTAACATACACACAGAGTGATCCAAGTGATGACTGGGAACCATCATGTTTGATCTATGGTTTGCAGTATTGCCAATGTCAAGTATTCAAAAATCACTAGTCAGGCCTCAAAAATCATGAGACTGATTATTTTTAAGCCAATTTGGTGTTGTTTTTATTTGCCTTCTGGTTTCTCAGCTTTTTAAGGTGCACTCAATCAAGTTTTCAAACTTTTCTCTGACACTATGAGGACTAGAAAAATGCTTTTTTAAATTAAAACTGAGATTCTCATGGAACCATATAACTCCAGGAGCTGGGGTTTTAAGTAAACCACCAAATATTGCAAGACTCAATATAAACTAAATAGATCTTGTAACACTTCACCTTTTTCTCTGATTTTGGGCGGGGGGGGAGCATGTTTTTTTCTTTATGGGATTTCTTGTATCTTAGTGTAATATGGGGCCCAGGGTAGGGTGAGGAAGAAAGCAGGAGGGGAATGAAGTAATGGGAACAGGGGAGTGGGAAAGACAGAAGTAGGGGGGAAGAGGCATTGCAGGGGAAATAGGAGGTGGAGGAAAGAAAGGAGGGATGGAAAGAAGCATGGGAGGTGTGGAAAGTGAAGGCATCAGTGGAAGGATGGTGAGAAGTCAAAGCAAACAGGCTATAGCTATCAGTAAACATCATTGTAAATATACCCATCTTCCTAAAGTACAATGGCAACCTCAGGAGCATTGAAAACTACTAGAGCTGTAAGTGAATATTTATCTGTAATTGCTTTATTTGGGATGGGGAGAAAGAGTGTATCATTAATTACCTAAAGGCTGACCCTGCAAAAACAAATGGGCAGCATGTGTGCCTTCTGACTTAATTCATGTCCAAACTGTTACATGCTGCATGCCCATGCCATACTGTGTACATATATCTTGGAGAGGGAAATGCTACTTGAAATGCACTGATGCCTTTAAGACTGGTAGCTCTAAAATTAAACCTACCATGTGTATTATGGTTTGCAGGTGTGCAGACGTTCATGAGCATATCACTGTCCCTCTGCTCAGTCTATCTGGTTGATTCTTCTGAACAGCAAGGTAACGAAATTTGTGATGGGTGAATCCCAAAATGTTCAAAGGCCTTGGTTCATGCAAGCATCCTAAAGTGTGGATGCTTACCCAGAATTGATCCAAAGTTCAAGGTTGTTCTCATTTTCAAAGCTCTTCATAAATCCATCCCTACCAACATCTTAGCCAAAATGTCCTCCTTCAGCCTTCCTGGTCCTTCTTTCTGTTCAGGCTTATCTTATTACCATTGCCTCTGTCTCCTTTGCCCACTCTAGACTTTGTGCTTTCTTTTACATTACCCCAAGGCCTGGGACATTCCTCACTTACCATAAGAATGTAAGAACAGCCATACTGGGTCAGGCCAATGGTCCATCCAGCCCAGTATCCTGTCTTCCAACAGTGGCCAATGTCAGGTGCTTCAGAGGGAATGAACAGAACAACCAATCATCGAGTGATCCATCCCCTCTCGTCCATTCCCAGCTTCTGGCAAACAGAGGCTAGGGACACTCAGAGCATGGTGTTACATTCCTGCCCATTCTGGCTAATAGTCATTGATGGATCTATCCTCCATGAACTTATCTACTTCTTTTTTTGAACCCTGTTATAGTTTTGGCCTTCACAACCTCCCCTGGCAGAGTTCCACAGGTTGATTATGTGTTGTGAAAGAAGTACTTCTTTTTGTTCATTTTAAACCTGCTGCCTATTAATGTCATTGGGCGACCCATGTTACTTGTGTTATTTGAAGGAGTAAATAACACCTCCCTATTCACTTTCTCCACACCAGTCAAGAATTTATAGACCTCTATCATATCCCCACTTAGTCATCTCTTTTTCAAGCTGAAAAGTCTCAGTCTTTTTAATCTCTCCTCATTCAGAAGCTGTTCCATACCCCTAATCATTTTTGTTGCCCTTTCCTGTACCTTTTCCAATTCCAATATATCTTTTTTTAGAGATGGGGTGACCAGATCTGCACACAGTATTCAAGATGTGGGCGTACCATGGATTTATATAGAGGCATTATATCTTATTATCTATCCCTTTCCTAATTATTTCTAACATTCTGTTAACTTTTTTGACTGTCGCTGCATATTGAATGGATGTTTTCAGAAAACTATCCACAATGACTCCAAGATCTTTCTTGTGTGGTAACAACTAGTTCAGACCCCATCATTTTGTATGTATAATTTGGATTGTTTTTCAATGTGTATTACTTTGAATTTATCAACATTGAATTTCATCTACCATTTTGTTGCTCAATCACCCAATTTTGTGAGATCCCTTTGTAACTCTTCACAGTCTGCTTTGGACTCCACTATCTTGAGCAATTTTGCATTGTCTGCAAATTTTGCCACCTCACTGTTCACCCCTTTTCTCAGATTATTTATGAATATGTTAACAGCATTGGTCACAGTACAGACTCCTGGGGGACACCACTATTTACCTCCCTCAATTCTAAAAACGTATCATTTATTCCTACACTTTGTTTCTTGTCATTTAACCATTTACTGATTCATGAGAGGAACTTCCCTCCTATCCCGTGACTGCTTACTTTGCTTAAGAGCCTTTGGTGACGGACCTTGTCAAAGGCTTTCTGAAAGTCTAAGTACACTATATCACTCTTGTCCACATTTGTTGATCCCCTCCAAAGAATTCTACAACAAATTCAAATTCTACAAACAAATTTATACAACAAAATTCCCTTTCTCTCTCCTCTCTAAAAGAATCACCTAGCTTCTGAAATATTCTGGCTATAATATACTCACTTTATCTGTGTTCATTTTATCTTGTTTCATGCTGTATTGCATCTTCTGTGTCTTTGGCCTGTGAACATCTCCTTTTTGTTTAGTTACTTCACCTATCCTATACTCAAATAGCACTACATAAATAATAAGTAGAGTTATGTTGGGAGTTAGGTGAAACCTCATTGAAGCAGATGGATGGAATTGCCACCCTTCCTTCAGGACAACTGTAAGAAACACTTAAGCCTTGTGTACACTACACCGTTTTGTAGACAAAAGGCAGCATTTGTCAACAAGACAGTGGAGGTGTACACGCTACAACAATGCTCCTCCTGCCAACAAAACTCTCCACTTTGCCAAAAAAATAAAACCACCTTGAAGAGAGGTGTAGAGCTTTTTGCAGCACAGATCGACAAAATGTCAGTGTAGACACAGTTACGTTGCTGTAACTGGCCTCTAGGAGGCATCCCACGCAGGAGCGGTGCCAGGGTTTTTGCCGCCCTAGGTGGCAGCGCTCCTCCACAGTAATCGGCCGCAGCTCCTCCTCTGAAGCTGCGTTCTTGGCGGCGGGGGTCCTTCTGCTCCAGGTCATCGGGGCACTTCAGCGGCGGGTCCCGGAGTGAGTGAAGGACCCGCTGCCGAATTTCCACCGAAGACCCAGAGCTGAAGAAGCCCCTCGCCAGCGAAATGCCGCCCCCCACATCCTGCCGCCCTAGGCAACCACCTAGGGTCGCCTAGTGGAAGCGCCGGCCCTGATCCCACAAAGCCCACCGTGACCGTTCTGCTTATTGTTTTGAACTCCACTAAGCTACCTTGCATCAGCTACACAGGCATGTGCCCCTCCCCTTTCAAAGTCCCAGGATGTTTTGAAACTGCTTAGAAAGGAGAACTCGCATAGCTACTGCCCAGCTGAGCCTGCTGGCTCCCAGCAGCAATCGCCTGGAGTTCAGAGGAGGGGGTGGATCTCCTGGGTCTGTGGGGAGAGGAGGCTGTGGGAAAACTTGGAGAGAATCATGGAATCAAAACATTAACACAGAATCCTGCCTCTCCCTGGCACTAGGACCACAGCGGCAGGTAGGCAGGGCAGGCTGCTGGGGGTGGGGGAGGCAGGGAGAGACTCATGCTGTGCTGTGC